CTGTGAGGCCCTGTGCCCTGTGGGCCACTCTTGGGCCTTGAGCATATTGCTTATTTAGCAAATATTGCCCCCGTGTTCCAGGTGTGGCAGGCCCTCTACAGATCTGAACTCGCCATCCCATGGAGGGGAGATGTTCAGGAATTTGATGGGGTAGAGTGGCTGAGCTGGGATTTGGACTCAAATCACACAACAAGTGGCCTTCAGGAGAGTCCAGTTGCCCCAGGATCTCTGGATCACCTGTCACCAGCTCCCACAGCACAAGGCAGAGCTGCCTTGCCATTCATCAGACCCCCTTTTGACAGCTGGAAGAAGTGCGGGGCCAATCTCCTCTCCCTGGGAGTCACGCTGCTGCCCCCTGCCCTCCTCATCATCACCGCTAGCAAGAGTGGCTGTTTCCTGTACCCAGAGTCTGCAGGCAGCTCCCGCTCTCAGCCCCTGCTCTCTCAGCTGCATAGCTTGGCTGCGGGAGGCAGCCGGCAGCCCTGTCTCATGTGTTCACTCATGGGGATGCAGGAGCTTAAAGGAGGGGCCTCTCGGTGATGTCTCCAGAGCCCAGGATCTGAATGGGACCCACCAGGAGGATGAGGGATGAGGCAGACCCATTCAGAGTTTGGCCTAGGAGCCTAAGATCTGGGTTCAAATCCAGCGTGACCTTGGACGAGTCACTCAACATCACTGACTCTCACGAGGACAGGTGGGACAGACTGATCTCACAACAGCTCAGGGGAGGAAGACGTTGGCATCCTTGGTAGAGGGAGGGGAGAGACCTTTACCATCTCGGCTTGTATTGGTGGGTGCTGAAAGGATCTAGGCTTGGTGGTAAAGTGGGATAGTGGGGGCCCCAGGGTAGGTGAAGGTGGGAGTGAGGAAGCCCCCGGAAGGGTTCTGTGAGCTTGGGCTGTGGCCACTGATGGCCCTGTCCCTCTGCCTCCCCCTATAGCTGGCTGGACAGGAGGGGTTAGCTCTCTCCGTTCCCCTGGAGCTAACAGGAAGGCTGAGGGGCCAGGCCCCTGTGCCACCCTCAGTGCTTGGCAGACTCCTGTCCCCAAACTCCCAGCAGGGCTGCAGGCTTTGGGGTGTGGGCTTTATCCCTTACTGGGAAAGCCTTTCTGGAGCCTAGGGCAGGCCCCACAGCTTAGAACACTAAGGCCAACAAGGGCAGAGGTTTTGGTGGCCCTTGTCATGACCTGGAAAGAGTCATCCTCTATAAAAGAACAAACAATGGTAAGCAGTTTTTGATGCCTCTCCATGTGCTTTTTTAAAAAGATGTATTTATTTATGCATACAAGAACTAGGGTACAGGCCAGAGGTGCAGGGGGGTGGGAGAGGTCTGCTGTGCCATGTGGATCAGCTCCCTGACCAGGGATCTAACTCCTGCAGTGGCTGCTGTAGCTTCTCAGTGCTGTGCTTTAACCTGTTGAGCCACCAGGAGGCCCTCCATGTTCTTTTATACGCTATCTCATTTAATTCCCAGGACACAGGACCAACTTAGCCATCCTCCACAGCCCCGAGCCCCCTCCTCAGGTTGCAGCTATGACCAGCTTCCCTGCCACAGCCCCAGGCCAGAGCTGCTCCTGGCAGAAAGAAGGCAAAGAGCTTTAGCGGATCTGCCACCTAGAGGCCCAGACTCCTGAAAAAGAAGCCTCAGGCCAAATTGCACCCAGAACGTCCAGGGACCCCGGCCCCCCCTCCCCCAGCACCACACACCCACCAGCTAATCTGGGCCTGTGCCGCCACCTGCTGTTCACAAGGGGAAGGGCTCCAGACAGAACGTGCCTGCCTTCCTCCTCCTGGAGAAACTGTAAAGGAGTGGCCCACCAGGACTTAGCCACTCTCTTTCCAGGACTAGTGTGGAAGATGAGGGGACACTTGGCTCCCCTGAGGCAACATGGGTGTGGCACTCAGGGCTGGTGCAGGTCACCTGGTGAGTTCGCTATCCTGGTGCCATCCCTTCTGCCTGTCCACTCTGAAACCTCTCCCATTGCCTATGTCCAGACCCGACACAAGGTCCACTGCAGTGAAGCCTTACCTCACCCCCAGACAGGAGTGACAGCTCCTCCTCTGAACTCTCCCGCAAGACCTCACCCATGTCTCCTGTCACTTCCTGGTGAGACCTATGTTGTGGCTCTGGCGCTCACGCTGGCTGGGAATCTCCCAGGGCCAGTCCCATCTGGGTGCCCCGTGGCCCCAGAGCCCAGCAGAAGGCCTGGTGTGGAGGAGTTGGGGATGTTTGAAGAGGGTGAATGAGCGGTAAGGAGGCAGTTCTGTCTTCAAAGGATATTCTTTCCTTCTTGGGGAGCCTCGGTGTAAATTCTGAGGTTAATTCTCCAAGGTCAAATTCAGGACTGGATGCATGCTAGGCAACACTACTGCTTGGTGCCTCAATTTCCCCATCTGTAATATGGGCCCATTCTCTGAGGTGGCTGGTTGTCTTCCAGTAACCCAGATGGTCCACACATGCAGACTGGGTCTTACCCACTGCCAGGATTTACAGCGGAAAGCCTCCCTCACCCCACCCTGGTTTCGAGCTGTCGCTTTATTGACCAGTTATTGAGCTGCTGCTAACCCCTCATAATCTGGTGTTCTCAGCCTTATCTGGTAAAAGAGTACTTCTGGCCAGGGCCCACATTCGCACTGCATGGCTCTCTGGGGTCCCCAGCCTGTTGTCATGAATGGTGGTGGGGTAGGCATTCAGGATCTGGTGCGTGGGCCTTAACCACCAGGGGCCTAGGATGAGAGAGGAGGCACCGGGGTGCAGATTTAAGGAGACTCACCTCAATGTCAGCGCCCGCATGGGCGGCTCCTTACATCTTGAAACTTAGGTCTGCACTCACCTAGTCCTGGTCCTGCCAGATGAATCCTTGTGTAAGGGCCTGTGGTGTGGGGGCTTCTCTCCACATCACATGGGGAAAGGTTCAGTGTAGGCTAGAGCAGGGCCCCTGGAAGGCACACAGGTGATCTGGAGGAGGGTGGTTGGTGGGAAGACCTCGGCAATGTCTGAAGTTGCCAGCAGGTGGCACCACAGGCCAGCACTGGAGGCAAGAGGCCGAGAGCGTGTCCTCCGGTGCATGTCCGTGCCCCTTCTGGGCCCTGCACTCTCCCTCCTGTTTCTAGGTCTTATCTGAGACTCTTTCACATGGTGTCAAAGAATGTCAGCCCCTGGCTCTGAGCCTGCTAACCCCAGAGTATGGATCTGGACTTCATCCCTGTAAAATGGGCTCTGAGAACAAAGGGAGATTGTCTGGGATCTCCTCAGGCGGGGCTGATTAGACCTTAATGGGCCACGTTGTTCTGGCCCTTCCGGTAGTCAGGCCTGTTGTTAAAGCCTCCGGCAAACTGTGAACACCTGAAAGGTGACACACGCTGCTTGGGCAGCTGGGGTTTGCCTAGGCTCTCTCATGAGCTGGCCCAGTGTCCGGCATGTGGGCAGCTGGGGTTTGCCTAGGCTCTCTCATGAGCTGGCCCACTGTGTCCGGCATGTGGCGTGAGCGCTGTAAATCACTCATCACTGTTATTACTACCGTTGTTATTTTATTTTCCCAAGCCCCTTTATTTCTCCCTGAACCCCTAGGAAATAGGGGCTTCTCCTACTTAACCCAGGTTGCTAGGACTCTAACAGAAGCACACCAAGGGCTGAATGAGTGCCAGATGGCCACTGTCACCTTGGTCAGCTCGTGCTTGACCAGTGGCCAGAGGACAGGAGGCTCATCAGCCCCGAGCTTGGGACATCTGCTGTTCCCTCTGTACACTCTGGGCCGGACTCCAAGGACAGCAGGGCACGGGAGAGGCTGAGGCAGCTGGTTGGGCCTCAGCCTGGATGCTACAGGGACACCTTGGTGAAGCCCCAGCAGGCGGCATGGCCATTCCTGTTGGCCATCCTGGAGGGCTGTGAGTGACGGGGAGGCGGGGTGTCCGTGACGGTGACCTGTGGCGCCATGGCTGGAACCCAGCAACCACGTATCAGAACAGAGGGCTGCAGGCAGGGCTGTGGGTGTCTCAACACTGCACCCGTTCACCTGGGAGCCTCAGAGCCTCGGAGGATGGGGCTTAGCCCTGGTCTTGGAAAGCTGTGCTGGCCCTACGGCCCTTTCCCCTGAGATGCCGAGGCACAGCGTGGCTAGGGACATCCTGGCAGGCTAAAGGGAGCCAGAGATTAGCAAGCTGGAGACCTGGAACACTTTGGGCCACCTCGGAGGTGCAGAGTGTTGCTCTCAAGAGTTTCATGTCGAGCCTTGGCCTGGGCCAGGCCATACCGGGTTCAAAACCCACTCCGAAGTGCCCTTCTCCGTGGGAACTACTGTGAGGAGTTCTGAGGAGGAGGTGAGAGAGGTGCCAGATGGCCCCAAGCCCAGCTGGGCTCTCTGAGCTCCCGCCCCCCACTGTTCTCCCTGCGGCTGATGCTCACACACTTCTTGTTCGTGTCTCTCAACATCTCTGGCCTTTTAAGCATGTCCTCTGAGACCATCTCTGGTGGCCACCTGTCCTGCGCCCTCAGAGGCCAGTGGGGTGGAGATATCAGACCAACAGCTTCTGGGTCCCCTCAGACATCCTGATCCAAGGCCCTCCACACCAAGGCCTGTTGAGGGGTACAGTTGAACAGGATGGGGGGAGTTGGTTCTCTGCTTCCAAACAAACCCCAGGCCTGACCCCTGCCTTCTTTTTCACTAGATGTAGCTACAAACATACAGACATTCAGAATGTGTGTGTTGTGCGGCCTTGAGGTTCAAGCCCTGTCCCTCCCCTGGACCTGCAGGGTCCAGTTCACATGGCCATTCGGCCCAAGGAAATGACAGGTATTGTGAGCCCCATTTGCAGGTGATACACAAGACCCCAGAGCAGCCTTGAACTCAGGGCTGGAGGCATGCCACCGGGCAGATCAAGGAAAACCAAGCTGGGCTGTACCTCATAGCTGGGCTCCAAGCAACTACCTCCAGCCCTTCACCCACCCTGCCCCTCCTGGGCTTTCACACCCTGAATGTCACAGGCTGACGCTCTTTTCATGTAAACATCTTAATTACATCTTTAATGTGCTCACTTGGAGATGCTGTGAGTTAAATTACAGCTTCTGTGCATCCTAAATTACCCACAGCCCTCCAGTCAGCTCAAGTGCTAAGGTATTTATAGCATCTAGAGGAGGAAATAGTCCAGAACCTTCCCCACACGGGCTCCCAAGCCCCTCACATCCTGACACGTGGTATTAGTCCAACAGAAGATTTGTACATGCCACCCCCAAGTTCCCCCAATCAGCAAGGGCAGCAATGGTGCAAGGCTGGGCAGGCATGCTACTGTGCATGCATCTGTGTGCATGCGTGCCCAGTGGAGAAAAGATGCCCAGCTCTTGGGGTCTGGCTTGGGTGAATGCCTTGCCCAATGCCCCAGATTGGCAGAATTCCCGAGGACCATGGGGGAGAAGATAAGGGCTGGATGGGCTATGCCATCAGGAAACACTGGTTTTCTGAGGTCTGTCCCAAAGGGGCTAGCCCACTGCCTCAAATGGTCAGAATCCCTTCACTAGCCAGCAGCCTGCAGTCCCTGTCCTCAGGTAAGTGGCCTCTCTCCCAGTATCTCCCCAGAGCCACTGCACAGCAAGGCAGGGTGCTACAGTTGGAAGTGGGTGACCTGCCTTTTGGAGCCCCGCGAAGAGCTGCAGTGGGCACATCCCTCTCCCTGCAGCCCCTGAGCTAGAAGGCAGGAAGGAGGCCCTGTCTGATGCTTTTCTGCACACGATGAGGTGGGGTGACTTGGCGGGCGGAGCTGATACGGGGGTGTCCCTCCTGCCCCATGTGTGCATGTGCACACAGCCTCTTACCAGTTCAGGGCACTCTGCAACCTGTTCTCATGCTTCCTTCCTGGCCGGCTCCGTTCTGGCTTGGGCCTAGCCAGCAGGTACCGGGGAGACCCCAGGGAGCCTCTGGGCTGTTAGAGCAGGTGTCTAGAAAGGGCTGGTTCCTCAGGGTTGCAGAGAGCACATTTCTCAGTGGGGGGCCCTGAGCTGAACTAGGTGAGCTGATGATCTTGGGCATGAGCAACTTTCCTCCTGGTGTCCTTACCCACTGGGAAGTTTCCGCTCTATCCCTGGGCCTCTCTTGGGGAGCCACCCCCTCCCACCCTAGCCAGAGGTCTGGGTGGGTGCTTCTCCCCACCCCAGAGGACAGGTCTCTCTGTGACAGAGAACCCCTCTCCCTCCCACTGCACATTTCCCCCCCGCCCCCCTTTCTCCCACTTCAGAGAAACAGACCCTGACGTGAGGGATCCCAGCAGAAGACAAGGATCAGTGCTCTCGACCTTCATGGCATGAAGGATGCCTTCCACACCAGGGCCCTCAGATCAGGGGACATCAGTGGCCAGATGCCCAGCCTGGCCTACTGGCCGTCGAGCCAGTAGGTGAGTCCTCACAGCAGCTGGGTCTTCAGCAGGGCAGGTCCTGAGAGTAGATCTTAACGTCATGGAGTGGGCAGCTCTGTGGGCACTATGGTGGCGTCTTCGTCAGCGGGCCAGGACTGTCCCCAGGCCACTCATGCGTGGATGGCGTTGGCTACATCAGTGAATACCAGCCGGCTGGGTCTCTGTAGTGGGCCCTGAACTTGGAGAGAAGTCTGCAGAGAGACAGGTAGGGCATCAGGCCCTTCCCCAAGGCCATGGCTCTCTGGCCGTCACTTCCACATCACTTCCTGCTTGCACTGGCTACCAGCCATACCCTTGGCCTGAACTAGAATGCCATCCCTACATACTCAGCCTAGAAGTGGGCTCGAGTAACTCCTCGCCCACAACCACTCCCAGCTTGCTAGGTATTCATCCCAGGGGGTGGCTTAATTGTACACCCCCCTCTCTGAGCAGACTGGGGTTCACCTCTGCAGCCTAGTGTCCCAGCACAGTGGCTGGCACAGGGAGGGCAAAGGAAAAGAACTGCCAAATGGTCCAGAGTCCCACAGGCTGGGTGGGCCTCAGCCCTGTTTTCTGAATATCCTAAAGGGGAAATGCAGCCTCGGCCAGGTGACACACTGGTGGCCAAACCAAGGGGTCCCCAGACTCCCATCCAGGTTCTTCCTGAGTTCAGCTGCCCAGGTCTTTCCTGGGTGTAAGACAGACTTTTCAGCAACCTGTGGGGTCAAGGCAAGGAGGAAAGTGGCGGGATCTCATGGGGCGGGGAGGCCAGGCCTCTTCGTGGTACTCTGGCCCTTGGCGATGTCTGGGCCTCGTGGCAAGTGTTCAGGTAGCCTGGTGGCCCTAGCAGGATAATGACACAGGAGGCGAGGATGGCTGGGGTCTGCACAGGCTAGGGCCTGTAGGTTGCCAGAGCCCACCAGTGTAGTCAGAGGTACCGCTGCCCCGAGCCTGGCCCAGCCACATCCACTCAGGACTGTGGGTGCTCAGAGAGCAGAGAACTCAGAGTCTCAGTTCCTAACAATCTCTCCCATCAGTCCTCCTGCTTTTCCAGCCAGTTAAGAGGCTAGGGGTGGAGGACCCACAGGCCAACAAATAGGATTTTCATTTGCAGATTGGAAATGTGAGAAGTCAGCGGGGCTTCTGGGCTTGGTTCGAGATACAGGTGCCCAGTTCCAGGGCTGTGCAGTGAATCCCCGGGGTCCCCGGTGCTCGGTCCCAGGGCTGTGCAGTGAGTCCCCGGGGTCCCCGGTGCTCGGTCCCCAGGGCTGTGCAGTGAGTCCCTGGCCTTGCATGGTGAGTCTGTGGTGGCCACAGAGGCACTCTACAGTTTCAAACACACCCATGTACCTGACATTGCCACCAGACCACATGGCAGGTGCTGGAAAACTGCCTGAGAAAGGAGGGAGGGCGGGGGTGGAAGTCAGGAACAGACTGCAGGCTTGGGGTGCGGGGAGCCTGGCTCCTGCTCACCTTGCCCTGCGTGGCCTGCACAGAGGCAGTGACCTTCATGGAGGCAGCGTCCCGCCCATGCTCCAGCAGTTCCTGCTCCAGTTCATCTTGTTCCTCCGTGGGGTCGAAGTTGTACATGGGCATGAGCTGGTGGCGGAGCTTCTCCAGCCTGGGGGTGGGGCAGAGGCTGCTGGGGGCAGGGCAAGTCCTTCCCCACCCACCAGCCCTCCAGGCCCTGCCTGCTCACCAGCTGAGCCCTAACAGGCAACCATGTTTAAGCTCCTAAGATTTCCCCTGGGATAAAACGGATGGCACCTTGTACCTCTCTACCAGCTGTACCCTGCAGAAGGGTGGCCCGAGAGGGGCGATCCCACTTCTAGGATCAGTTAGGGCCATAGGCCACATAATTGCTGTCCATGGGCTCTGTGGAGCCCATGGAAGTCAGGGCCTTGTGCCAACCAAGCCTTCTATGGGCACTGGGCACAGGGAGAAGAGCCAGTGGCAGGTAACTTGGGGTAGCAGAGCAAGTGGCTCCACACTACCTAGCAGGGATGGCCACCCGAGCCCCAATGGTCAGAAGAAGCCCTGATTCCCTGACAGAGTGATGCACTCAGATGTCGGGGGACTCTCCTTTCCCACCCACACTCTCTGGAGTCCAGCCCAGCGCTGCCTGGGCTGGAGTGTCAGGTGGCAGCTGGGAGTTACCTCTTCCTCTTCCTGATGTAAAAAACCTGCAAGAGAAGAAGTGGCGTCAGATGGCCAAGACAGGAGGCCCTGATTAAGCCAGCAGTTCTTCAGGATACAGGAGATGCTAGGCTAGCGGACGGGAAAACTGTGGGTCTCGGTGTTTGCACCAGTCACAGGGATACATGCACCCCACTCCATACCTCCCTTTGACGTTTATCAGCTGTGGACAGTGTCTGGACTCAGACTCGGGAGCCGGCCTGCCCCCAGGAGCCTGGCCTGGGAAGGCGCTTGGTCAGGCTTGGCCTAGGTGCTGGTGGGACTGACCTCTGCCACTTGTGACTGGGGCTATAGCTACTGACCACTGGGATTCCTCAAAGCCTCAGGAGTAGGGCAGATGGCACACTCCCTCTTCTCACTGTCCAAAGTCCAAAGCCACGTATGAGCAAGAAGTACAGAGGTCCTAGGCAAGGTACTAACTGGGCTATGGGACACTGATGACCCCAGTGGACAGGGGTTGGGGGAAAAGCCTGAGCCCCTGGATATCAGCCCAGAACAAACTCCAGAACCCTGATGCTGATGGAACCTAGGGAGCACACTGGACCCTAACCCCCATCACACAGACTTGAAGGTAAAGTTCCAGGTGTCCTGAGAAAACACCCCTGAACCAAGTGTTCTGTGCTGGAACAGCAAATCCAGATACGAGATTCTAAGTCAAGAGTCCCAGGCAGGGACTCCAGGGGCCTCTGTCACCATCTTACTCCCCAATAGGGAGCATGGACACTTCTGCCTGGGGAGGCCACACCCCTAGACTCTGTCCCAAACCCCTGCGGTTCTCACACCATTTCTGGTCCATTCAGAGCTTGAAACTGGTTGGTCTCCAGAGTGACCCAGGATAAGCTTACTCCAAGGGCAGGGAGAGAAACTGAGGAGAAACTCTGGGGAGAACACATATAGGTAGCACCCTTGTTCTCCTGGGAGCGCCAGGGTATTCTGGCTCAGCCCCTTCCACCCGGAACCTCTGGCTCCAGCCCCGGCACTTTGTACATCCTCTCAGCCCCATCCCAGGCCTTCCTCCCTGCCCTGTGATCCTGTGAAGCCGAGGCTCTTCCAGTGAGTCCAAAACCTTTATCCAAGCTCCATCCTTGCCCCTGCTGTTCCCTCTGCCTCACCCATTGACACCTCCACCCATACATACCTTCCTTTCCAACTTTTCCCATTCCTCACTGTCCAGCTGCAGCTCCACCTCCCCCAGGAAGCCCTCCCCCACTGCTTCTCCGGGGAGAGGCACACAGCTGAGTAGATTTGTTCTATCTTGAACTAAGCAAGGCCTGGCTCAGGGTTGGCATGAGGGGAGAGGAAGCAGTGATCAGAATAGAGCTCTGTCCCTGGAGACCAGAAATTGTTTAATGCCCTGCACTACTTTTGCCCCATAACCTTTCTACCTTCTACCTCTCTGCTTTTGTGACAAAAACAAAAACAAAACAAACAAACAAACAAAAACCTGTGAAAACCTGGCCACCAAATGTTCCTCGAGAATGAAGAATAAGGGAGACTTCCCAAGGCCCTAGGACAAAATCTTTCACCTAGAATTGCAAGGCAGATTCTAGGCCCTGCTTTGCCCCTGAAGTTAGGGGATCTCAGCCTGCTTAACTGCTGCATGTGACAAGGGGAAACTGGCACTCTGTCCTTTCCCTACCCAGGAGCCCACACAGGCCCCAGCCCCCCTGTGAGCATCCTGGCCCTGCTTGCTGGGCAGCAGTTGTTCCCTGGCCATGATCCTGAGCCTGCAGGGCCCATATGGCGATCCTGATTTAACAACAGCTCCAGCCAGGCCTTGGATGGACCATCCGCAGCCCTATTTGTCAGAGCAACGTGCTCCTGAGTCTCAGGTCAGTCATGAGAGCCTGTGAGGAGCAGGCTGCACCCTTGCGTCCCACTGCCAGCGCCACCCTTCTCTTGACACTGGGGTCAGGCCTCTACCTTGACGTCTCAGCTGTAATATTGCCTCCTCAGTTGTCCCTGACCATGCAGTCTAGAAAGTTCCCATAGCCCCAAAAAGGTCTAATTTCCCAACCCAATCTCTATGGAATTTCCTTGGTTTTTATCTTTCTCCATTTCCTGTAAGAACCTAGGACTGTAACTTAGATCCCCAGTCACTGGGGTCCTAACGATTTGGCTCAGGACAAGTGCCCAAGAAATAATTACCAAGCAAGTGAATGAATGAACAGTGCCAGAAGCCTGCCAGGCTCATGGCACCTTAGCCAGAGCACAGCCCTGGATCTCTCCTACCTTCTGATCTCTATTCCTCTTGCCCCTATCTCTAAACTTACTTGTCTCACATTCCTGCTTGCTGCTCACAGAACCTCCTGCCTATGGCCCACAGAACCTCCTGCAGGCCGCCAAAATCCTTTTGCTCCTTACAACCCCTACTGGGAACACCCTCCACCTCAGCTTCATGGCCCAGCTCAAAATGCCATGCATTCCTCAGAAATTTCTCTGGTTCTTTCAATCAGTGGTAGCTTCTCTGGACCCCAGGGAACAGATCCCTGGTAAAGGGGAGGATTTGCACTATCATTAACAAAAAATAGTCTATGTTCTCTAAAATTCAAACACTGACCACCCTCCCTCAAATAATGGCCAACGGGGTCAGCTCTAGCCTGCCCCAGCTCTCACCATGGCCACAGCCAGGCCAATCACTGTGATGATCCCAAAGGACAGAAGCATTGTGCCCACACTGGCTGTGCCACCAGCCGCATCAGGGATCCTGGTGTCGTTGAAGCTGGTGGTTTCTGGGCTGAGGGTGGTGGTCTCAGAGGCTGGCCCATCTGTGCCAGGCTCCAGGTCAGGCTGAGAGGTGGGTGGTTGGCTGCTGAACCAGTCCCTAGGAGATCGGATCTTGGAGTTCATGCTGACGTTGAGGGGGCCCAGGCTGAGAGACTGCCCGTGGTCAGTCACTCTGCTGCTCACTTGTGACATCAGGAGTGTCCCAGCCTGTGGCCCCTGCCCATGCAGGCGGCTCTCTCCTTGGATAGGGCGTGCTGGAAAGGAAAGAATAGAAAACATGAGACTGAGGACAAGGTCTTACCAGTAAGATGTGTTTCCTCTAAGTTCGGAGCCATTAGGCAATAAATAAAATAAAATGAAAGTTGGGGAGTAAGGGCAAGTTAAGGGGATGTGATGACATGTACTTTAGCTATCTCTGGTAACTGTGGGTTTAGGAACATGACAGTAAAGTCCTGTCACCTCTTGTGGGTAAGGTGATAGTTGTGGTCAGGCTTGGAAGATGGGGAAGGTAAAGGAAGGTTTGGAAAAAATAGTCTCTCCTCTGTGTAATACCATCCCTACCCCCAATTCCCCTCATTCCCCACCTCCTCACTCCCTGCCTCATGTGTTCCTCACCTCCTGCTTAGGGAAAAATAATACTACAGCTCTTTCCTTTCCTGGAGAAACACTTGCTCAAAAGTCAAACGAGTCTGCCTCTGAATTCCAATGCAGTCACTTCAATGGATGACAAGTCACTCCACATCTCTGGGTCTCTGTTTTTCCTAAGTGGAGATATTATGAACATCTCCATCACAGGATGCAGGGTCAATGGAGTGCCAGAAATTGCTGGTCCCTAGACACCCCCATCCACAGTTAGTACCCTACAAATGTTAGATCTTTCCCCCTTGGCCAACCCAGTCGGGAAAGTGAGTCACAGAAGCATCCGGATTCAGCCAGCTGTGTGATCTAGGCTGTGGTTGGAGTAGGGGTTGGGACAGGTATAGAGGAACTAGTAGACAGGCAGAAGAGAGGTCCTCTAGCACAGCTCTTGGGGTCGCCGAGCCCCCCATAAAGGGATCCAGGACTACCAGGGACAAGGACAAAAATCAGGGGGGTTATATCTTCAAAGGCAGGAATTGAGTTCCCATTCTGAGGAGGGGGCTGGCTAGACAGTTATTATCCTTTTTCCTCCTTCCTTGGGAGCAGGGGGTGGGAGAATGTCCAGCCCAGTGGGTGGCTTAGGTCTTCCCAAGCTAGATGACCCTGGGTCAAACAGGGTGAGGAGGGGCCCCAGCCAGGCTGCAGAGGGACGCACAAAGGAGAGGAGCCACACGGCTTGTGGCTGCACACATGGCCTCTAGTTCATGGGTGTGTATGGGGAGGGGTGTCTCCCGTGCAGGTGCATGGGTGAGGGTGAGGTATGCTCACCTCCATATCTGTCCCTCAGGAAGGGGTAAAGTTGGCAGAGAGACACGGGGTGAGAGAGGCTCGCCCCTCTCTGACTTCTCCCTCCAGCTAATCTGGTAGTCCTAGGTTCTTTCTTGGCTCGGCCACTGATCCCAGGCGTGACCTTGGGCCAGACCCTTAACTCTTGGGGCTGTTTACTTCACCCTCCAAGCGAGAGATCAGGCCCTGCTCGACATTTTCTGGGACTGCTTCAGGATCCAAAGGGCAAGAGAAAGAAACCGGGTGAAATGGGTCAGCACCGTGACTTCCGAGATTCCGCATACCGTTCTCCATTCCACCGGGTTCCTCAGTCCTCCCGCCCGATCCCCCATCCCCATCCCTGCCTCCAAGGCTCGGGAATGCTCCTGTCTTGCACAGAAGCAGCGACCTCAGCACTTACTTAATCCTCTCTGGGGCGCCGAGCTCGGTCGGAGAGGCTAGGGGTGATGACGACCAGCAGGAGGTCAGGGAAAGGGGAAACCCCCAAGCCGGGGGCGGGGAGCAGTGGGCCGCGGCCAGGGCCGGCTGCCGTTCACCGGCCGGAGCAGCTATCGCTGGCTTCTCCAGTTTGAGCCAGCTCTAGGAGGGCCTGGACCCACCGCGGGGGTGGGGCCGGGCGTGCAACCTCGCAGGTCCCTGACGCTTCAGCTCCTGCCTCCCTGCGGGCTCCGCGCCCCCGACCTCGGATTGGCTGTCACCCTCGCAGCCCACCCAGCATTGGCCTGCTTGCCTGTCCTTCGGATCTGGCTCCGCCCCCGTCAGGGGCCGAGAACCGGGTCCAAGCTGTCCGAGACCACCCCTTTTCTCCCCACGGAGACCCAAGCCAAAGGCAGGCGGGCCAGTGGGTGGTCAGGCCCTTTCCAGAGAAGAACTCGTCGCCCCCCCCCCCCCCCCCCAGCCCCAGCTCCATCTCCGCTAGTCGGACTCGCGCTCCCCAAACACAGGCGGACAGAGGACACTTGGTGAGAGCACTAGACTAGGAGTCCGTGGGTCTGCGTGGAACTCTGGCTCGACCCTCTTAGTGACCTGGCTTTGTGACCTAGGGAAAGATGCTTCCCCTCCATGAGAGTCGGCTTCCTCCAGAGAGGCTCCGAGGTGAGCTACTCCCGACCCAGCATCTGCAGTCCGGAGAAGTGGGGAGTGGGATGACATTATGGGAATGCTACTGGGCACCCGGAGACAGGGCCTCACAGACAGCTTCGTGCCGGGGGCGATCGTCTCAGGGGAGGAGCCCCCTCAGGTTTTCAAAGGTGTGTAAGGGAACCCCCGGAGTACCTTGTTCAAAAATATAGATCCCAGTGACTCTAGGTCTGGGACGGAGCCGGGAAACTGCGTATTTAAATAGCAGTTTACTTAACGGTGACCACTAGTTAACAGTCGATTCTGGCTGCGGTAAGGTCATGTCATGAATTTTGGTGAGGAAGCAGCTGAAACCCACGGAGGACTGTGAACAAAGCCTCGCGGAGTTGGTGACAGAGGCAGAACTCGAACCCAGGTCTCCAGCGTCGGGTTTTGCGCTCTTTGCCCCAAACGCTAAAACGCTAGGGAGAACTATTCAAAAGCTAACTTGGGGTCCCGTCGCCCTCTGCCCCGGTCCGCCAGCCGCAAGTACGGCTCCGGCTATCCCCTCAGCTAGGTACCGGACGCTGGGTTTTGCCCCCCAGTTGGCACCGCCTTCAACACTGGGACCCGCCCCCACGCAGTTCTATCAGGGCACAGGCTAAACTAGATCTCGCGGCGGGACTTCGCGCCCCAACTCTCGAAACCGGCGCCGACGACTGACGCGGCCGGGTTTGGGCTGGCTGCACACCGACTGGCCGGGTACTTAAACACCATCTTGGAGTAGCCCGGGTAGGGATATGGTTGGCGCCATGTCCCTGCCGCTATCTTCTGGAAAACTGGCTAGTTCGGACCTCCAGGAAGCAACCACACATACATACACGCACTTTACTGCAGTGGGCTCACAGTCCTAGTGGGCACGGCGTTAAGTTTACCCCATAACTGAGGAAGGCCTCAGGAACCTTCCTCGGAACCTTGGAGTTGGGCCACGGGATCCGCCCGGGCCCTTTTTCAGTTGCGCAAACCCCGGAAGCAGGGCTTCGGAGGTGGTTCACGCACGTCCGGGAGCCTAGAGCTGGCATTTTCTCCTGGCCATCGGCCGGGTAGGGCAACCTCTCAGGCAGGTATGCGTTAGAGATGGGGGTCGGGGATGGGGTATCTGCACGGCAACACTCTCGAGATCCCCCCATCTCCCGTTGTACAGCTGGGAAAGCAGACTTGGGGAGAGGCCACCACGCTTGGGTCATTAGCGATGCCTTGAGAAACTTCCTCGCGTGGGTCATTAGCGATGCCTTGAGAAACTAAGAGGCGACTGCACGGGATCCTGCGCTAGCCCTCAGGTGGACAGAGCCTCTTTGGGAATCCGAAGGATCTGGGTTTTGTCCTTCCTGGAACAATTCCTAGCTGGCAACTTTGGGGAAGTTCTCCACCTCTCAGAGACCCCTGTCCCTCTGCTAGTCTCTGAAGTGTGGCACCAAACAGTTGCTTAATAAATGCTAGTGTGTTCTGTTCGTGTGGTCTTAATAAATGCTAGACGCTGATCTGTGTGAAAAGAAAGGGGTCCACTGATTATATACATTTAGCTAAACTTGTTTGTAATAACTTAAATATAAAATTAATAATAACTCACTTTTTTAGGTGGCAGTAATGTACTGATATTCATAATGAGTTAAGTTGGTTGGGGTGGAGCTGTGCAGTTTCAGCGTACAAATCACTGACAGTACAAAGATAGACTTCTTACATGTAATGCTAGTTAAGGACTCGTAATTAAGTCCCTCCTGTGTATTGAACTGGCCTCCAGGCCTTTGACATTCATTGACAAGTATACTGCTTACCATGAAGTTGGTGTTTTCGTCTCCATTTTATGAACAAGGAAACAGTATCAGAAATAATGACTTTCTCAAGTTTACAAACACTGGACCCTGATCTACGATCAGTTACTGACCTATGGATGTAGAGAACTTCAGCTAAAAGCATGACAAAAACATAACTGCCAAGATAAGGAAAATCAAATAGGTGAACGAAGGTCAAATAGGTGACTGAGGGAGGTGGCATAGCACGAGCATGCCCTCTCTCAGGTAGTGACTGAGGAGGGGGTGAGGCGGGGGGAGGCCATACAAGGCTCAGCTGGCCTTCTCTTCCTCTTTCAGTTATACCTGAGGACCAGACCCAGTGACCTCTCCAGCTCCACCTGGCTGGAGCAGGTGACCATTGTCGTGCTGACATAAGGAGGACTTGGAGACCTGGAGTACTAAGGGGAGCCACCCCCTGAAATATGGAGCTGTGGGGCCAAATGTTACGGGTTCTCCTGTCTGGCCCAGGGAGGAGGGGAATCACCCAGGGCTGGGCCTTCAGCTCATGGTTACCCCATCTGCCTCTGCCTGGGTTGTCAAATGCCACAGAGCTGGTCAGCCACTGGACAGCAGTCTTTGAGAAGAGGGGCATCCCTGAGGCCCAGGAATCTAGTGAGTACATCGTGGCTCATGTCCTTGGAGCTAAAACAGTTAAGTACAGTGTTGTCAAGTGCCGGGAGTTGGGGGAGGGAGGACCCTGGCAGAGAGACATCTAGACTTCTGCCCCACTGAGAGTGATGGGATTTTTCTAAAGGAATGTGTTGGGCTGATACTTACTCTTCCAACAAACTGTACAGTGTAGACCAGGCACCAGGGCAGTGTTGTGTGTACAGTGTATACCAAAGTGACCAATGTTGGAGCCACAAAAGAAATCTGGGTGAGGAGAGCCACTCACATTCTCTATGGGGCAGTTTCAGGGCCTAAAGCCAGTATTTCGGACCCAGCCCTTGACCCCGAGGCAGCTTCAGCAGATCCAAGAGCTGAGTAACCGCCGATTGCAAAGGTGAGCACCCGTGGACTAAACCTGAAGGCTCTGCAGGAGCGAGGGTCAACTTCCCACCAAGTTCACAGGAGGGGGCATTATCCATAGACTAGGGAGGTGTGGGAATGAGGGAGTGGTGGGAAGCATGAGGTCAGGACAAGAGGAAGGGAAGGAAGGCAGTCCTGGGCTCCAGGGACATAGCAGACGTGACTCTACCAGACGTTTGTGCCTTTGAGTGGTATCCTTCAACCCGGCCATGGTCCTGTCGTTCTCGGGCTCTGCAATCACCCAGCTCTTCCCTCTGCAGGATGCCTGTGCAGTACATACTCGGGGAGTGGGACTTTCAGGGGCTCAGTCTGAAGATGGTGCCCCCAGTGTTCATCCCTCGGCCAGAAACAGAGGTAGGTGTGTGCCACCAACACAGGCCAGCTAGAGGGGGTAAGGGTGGGGCTCAGGGCACATGTCTTACACCAGACTGCCTCCAGGGGCCGCTGGGGCTTCATGACTGCTCTCCGAGACAGTGCCCTTCCATGCTCTTGTCTCTTGGCTGGCTAGGGAGGTGGGTCAAGAGCACAGAGGCCTCCTGCTCTCTTCTTTGACGATTTCCACATTCCAAGCTGCTCTCCCAACCCTGAGGGCTGATAGTGGCTCAGGGTGTGCCACTAGTGCTGCCCACCAACTGCTCCTGCTAGGCCTAGGAGCTATCCTGTAGGCCTATGGCCTCACCAACCCATGGGAAACAAAATGCCCTCCTCCTCAGGAGCCATGGGCAAAAGTGGAGAGGACTCCAGCCGAACATCCAGAGGCCCAGTACACCTCTGACTGCTGGAAGGTCACTCTCCCCTCGGCCTAGATGAGAAAAGGGTTGGATCTCCAGACCAGGGAATCAGAGTTCATGGTTCTCTTAGATCTAGTATCTAGTCAAGTAACTGCCTGCGTCTCTCACATTACTAGGACTGGGGAATGGTTGCTAGTACCCTCATCCTAGGAGAGATGTTGTCTATGACTCTTCTTGGATTCCCAGCTGACCTTATAGATAGCAGAGCTGGGAGAAAGAGTAGAGGAAGCAAATGGGGCTGAGTGGGGACCACTAGGCAAGCCAGACAGCTCCAGTTCTGAGAAGAGGCGTTTGTAGAATGATGCCCAGGCACACAAACTTGCCTGGGAAAGATTAGGCCCCTGCCAGGGACCCAAAACCCCTTCTCATTTTCCAAGCCCCTGTCCTTCAACCCAGAAACTATGATCCCACCTCATCCAGTTGGGAGACCAGGTCCTCATCTTAGTCTTCAGTGTTAGGAAGGGGACAGTAGGGAACCCGAGGTTTTGCTTAAAGCACAGGGGCTGCCTAGGTAGGGAGCAGAGGGACAGCGGGGGCTTCCTGATCCTGGGTCAGGGCCTCACACCTCTCATAGGGCTATCCTATCTGGGATTGGACGAGCTGAAATGGGGTGCACAGGCCCAGATCAGGATGTGACCTTCCTTCTACATGATCTTGGGAGCCCATCCTATGGCTCCCCTTAGTGTGTGACCTCCGACCACGAGGTCACTCATTATCCCCTGTATTAGGACATGTGGAGAAAGCTACCGTGATGACCTTTGCATCCCCCTCAGAGCTGACTTAGCATAGGCCTGGGGTTCTGAGGTTGAGTGTTGGGTATGGTCTTCCGGTTCCCATGAAGGCCCCTCTCTCCTGGGTGGGTCTGGGCCAGGAGAGCAGCTCTGTACTGGGTAGGAGGGAGGAGGCTGTGGTTAGGAAGCTATGTTCTTGCTTCACTGTACAGACATTTCTGAGAACTTTCCAGGTTCACCCCAATGTAAAGCCACATCAGGGGGTGCCTTACCAAGAATTTGAGAGGACGTGGCCTGTGGCAAAGTGGGGAGAATGAGTACAGGGAGGGGTCATGTGCCTGTCTTCTTTGCAGCACTAAAGGATGCTTTCTGATAACGAGGACAGGGACCTACATGTGGCCCAACAAGTTGGGTTTTCCCTGGGTGTGGGAAAGACGTTCAGTCCCCTGCCTGGCATTGTGTAAAGTGGGAAACGTGAGGCCAAGCACTGAGCCTCCCACCTCATCTGGTGTGGTAAGGCTCTGGGCTGTGAGGGAGGCTCCGGGCCTTGCTGACTGGCTCGAAGAGAAAATGCCTTCTTGGGGCTGCCCCAATGGAAGGTGCTCTTGGTGCTCAGGTCCTGCTGAGGCTTTGGGCTAACTTCAAGGGGGTGTGGAGTCCTCTTGAGGCAGTGACTGGGCAGAACCAAGAGCTTCCTGCACCCTGCTTCCTTCCTGCATGCCTTTCTGCCCGCACCCCGTGGTATTCTTAGATTCTTCCCCTGTTCAACTGGAGGAGGTTGCTGCAACTGTGACCAGCTTGCTTCCAGCCTCCCCCAGAGAGCCACAGCTTCAGGCTTGGGGACGCTCTGCCCTTGGTGAAGAAGGGAGTTTCTAGACTTCATAGGGGTGGCCTCTAACCCGACCCCCAGGTCATCCCACAACCAAGGCGATCTGTAGCAATGTAAGGAGAACGCAAGGAGGCACAGGGGGTCTCTGGACCTAGTCTTTCACCTTCACGCCCTACCTAAGGTTGCCATTCACGTATGTGTTGTGTGTCTCTGAGGTTAGGGATGTCTCTGTGATTGGCCAGTGTGGCTGGCTGAGGGGTCATTCTCCAACCAGGGTAGGTCTGTCTGCGGTGAGGAAACCAAGAGAAGTACAACAGCACCCCCCCAACCCCCAACCCCCACCCCAGTCAAGTCTCAGCTATCCCACTGGTCGCCTGTGGCCTCACCACCGAGACCACAGGGTACTGGCGCAGCTCACTCTGCCAGTCCTAACTGGGCCCACTTGCTGCCATCACCCCAGTAGTCTCCAGTAGGATCTGGTACAGGGCTGGTAGGGACCTGTCAACAACAAAAACAAGTGTCCTCTGGCTGGAGCCAAACTCCATCACCTGTAGGGTGCTGAAGGGGCTTGAACAGGAAGGTTAAGATCTGCCAGCCAAGTCCTGCCGGCTTTGGACTTTTTACCCTGGGGAAAAGTGAGCTTTGCTCAGGGGTTGGGGGCCCCAGAAGGATGAAATGCTTTTTCGGACTCAGCACTGAGGAACTTCTGTGGAAAATGGATCTGAGTGATCTGGACCCCTCTGCTCCACAGAGCCTGGGGAACTGGGGTTTGGAGAAACCTGGCCCCTGGGAACTTGCTCAACACTTGAGAAACAGCCTAGAGGCCCTTGTGCGGGCCAAACCTTACCAGTTGGGACATACCCTATTCACTTAGATCCCGGGCTTGCCACCATGGAGCCTTCAGTGGGAGAAGCAAACCCTGTTGTAGACCTTCAGCTCATGGTCAGGAAAGTCATGGTAGAGAGCCTGGCAGGAGCGTGAGGAAGTCTTTCTGGGGGAGGTAGGCCTTTCTTCAGCTGAGGAAAGCCCCACATGCTGACCTCTCCCCCACGTTCTGAGCCAAGAGTCCCTTAATTCCCAAGCCTGGGTGGGAGGGGAGGGGAATCACCAGCCCTTGTCCAAAGGTTTTGAGAAGGAACCACACTGCCTTTTCTCTGCTTGATGCCTGGCGACATGGGCCCCTACTCCACTGCTGGTTGGAAACACTTTGGCCTTTGGGAAGCAGCAACCCTTCACCTCACCTTCACTCCCGATTGGTTTCCATGCCTAGTCCCTGTGAGTGACAGATGAGCAGTTGATATTCACCCCTGTGGTTTCCAGAGTGACAGTGTGAAAGTGTTTCTCTGCCACCAAGCTGTGACCAGTATAATCAGGCACTTACTCTATGCCCTGGATATGCCCCAGTGCCCTTTAGATAAGCTGTTCGGGCAAGGCTGTGTTCCTTTTCCCATCCATGGAGGAAATTTCCTGTCCTTTCAGCCGAGGAGTTTCCTTAGGGCCCTCCTAATTTCAGCTCTGAGGCAGCTGAGGACACACTGACCCTTGATTCTCGGCCATCAGGAAATGTAGGCCAGTATCCAGATAGGGCCTTGACCTATGGGCCTTAGTTTCCTTATAGGCCACTTGAGAGGATCCAGTAGATTAATACAGGGAAAGCGCTGGAAGGAGGGCTAAGCACAAGGAATGACCAGGTACAGTTCTTACATTGCTGTGAGCACGAAATGAGCATATCTGTAAAGAGCTTAGCTGGGCTTATTGAACACTTACCCTGTGCGTATGGGATCAGTACTCACAGGTGTGGCACTATCTAAACCTATTACACCCCAGTGAGAAAGGTTACCTTCAACTGTGATCAAGTTTACAGATGGGGAAACTGAGGCACAGAAAGGTAGAGTGACCTGCTGATGGTCCCAGCTGATGTGAGGTTCATTTTAGCTTAGCAGCTCCCCTGTGTGCTAGTCACACAAACGCTAACTATGATTGGCTTCTGGGCCAAGACCTCCAGGGGCCAGATTGGCACCAACTCTGACACAGATTCCTCTGCTTTGCAGGAGCTGGTTGAATGGGTGCTGGAGGAGGCGACACAGGGGTCCTGTGAGGTGGGAGCCCAAGGCGGGCCCCTTATCCTGGAAGTAGGCTGTGGGTCGGGAGCCATCTCCCTCAGCCTGCTGAGCCAGCTCCCCCAGGTGAGCCCCTCAGCATCGCTCCACTCCCCTCTGGGTAGATTGAACTGTCCCTGTAATTGATCCCTTCTCCGCCCATGTCTTTGTGAAGCACGTGAGGGTACGTGAGCAGATAGGCTGTCCCCAGCCCACCTCTAACTTCTACCCCCGCGTTGGCCAGACCTTGGTCAGAGAGGGGGAAGCTGCCTCTGGTAGGGGTCGCAGGAGGGTTCTGGTTCCTAGTCTGGTCTCTCTCGGAACCTGGTCTCCCACGTATTCTCCGTTTGTTCATGGACAGAGCCGAGTCATTGCAGTGGATAAAGAAGAAGCTGCCATCTGCCTGACTCATGAGAATGCTCAGAGGTAGACAGTCTGGGGACCAGAGGGTCAGGGTGGAGGGACTTTTGGGGCCTGACCCCAACCCCATGCAGGTATAAACTCACAGACATCGGATTTATTCTTCCAAGAGGAGAAATCGGGGGTGGGGGTGGGCAGCCTGGCACGGGCCTGCAGGGTTATGAAATGGTGGTGGGAACCAGGTGCTTACCAGCTCCAGAAGGGTTTAGTCTCCCAGTCCTTGTGATGGAGTGCAGGGCTCCGCTCCCGTGCTCACCCTAACCTTCCCATCTCTCCAGGCTGTGCCTGCAGGACAGGATTCGGATTGTCCCCCTTGATGTGACCTTAGGTACTTTTCCCACCTGTCTTCCCTGGGGTGGGAATCCTGGCACCTGTGCTGCTGGGTGGATGAGGCAGTCTACAGAGTAGGGGAGAGGGCACCCCAAAATTCATTCATACATGCACAGACACATAAGGGGTATCTCAGGCCAGTCCTGGCTGAAGACTAGCAAGTCTCTCTTGCCTCTTGGCTGACCTAACCTATGAGGGGACCAACCACAGGGTTCTTTCTTACCTGCTGATTCCCCCATAACTGGTGAGTGTGATGGGCTTGCTTGTCAGCTAGAGATAAAAAGAAGTTCAGAAGAGAAGCTTTACGACTCAGGTACTTGGGTGACTCCCTTGTGCCTGCCTGACCAGGCATAGCACAATTCAACCATAGGGTGTCCTCAGGGTTCTGGCTCCATCAATAAACCTGTGGGGTCTTGGGCCTTGTTTATCTCCTCCTTGGAGAGTGGTACAGCTGTAGTAGCCATAGAGTGAGCTCTGTAAGCAGGGCCACAAAGAGTTGACTGACTGAGTTCAGGTATGCCCTTAGTATACTCACTACGAAATTCATACATCTTGCTGCCTATGAGACAGAGTATGACCAGGCCAGTGTGATTGTAGAGGACAGAGGCTCATGATTCCCAAGGAATCATGGAGGACTTTTTTTTTTAAGATCTGTTTATTTTGCATTAAGAATTGGGGTATAGCTCAGGGAGGTTGGAGGATGGGGTGAGAGGATTCACTAGAGACAGAGGGAAGCAGCGGGCAGGACAGGAGAGGTCTGCCACGCCTTGTGGGTCACCTCCCCGGTTGGGGGTCAAACTCATGCTGCAGTGGCTGCAAGAGCCTTGCAGTGCTGCCCTCTAACCTGTTGCACCACCAGAGAGGGCCCAGGGAAGACTTCTTGAATGTGGCGCTTGAGTCTTGCTGAGCGAGGAGGTTTCTGCAGGAAGAAGGAAGGGTAAGGACATGCAAGCACATACACTCCCAGCCAGGCACTAATCTGTGAGCTGGCTTATCAGACCCAGGACACTCACGCATGGCCCAGGGAAGGGACTGTTATAGGACTTGGTGGCAGGTGGAACGACCACTCTTTACCTCCCAGCTCTGCTGTGTCTTCCCTTTGACTCCAGAGGGGAGCTGCACACACCTTCTGCCTTGGGGGCCAATGGACCTGGTTGTCAGCAACCCTCCCTATGTCTTCCAACGGGACATGGAGCAGCTGGCCCCTGAGATTCGGAGGTGCGCGATGCGGTGGTGGTGGTGGTGGTGGTGGTGGTGGGGAGGTGCTGAAAGGGTTGGTGTTTACAGAGGTGCACTCTAGAGCTCATGGACCTGCTTGGTTCAGCTTCTGCCTTCCCACTTAAGACCACTAGATGACCCCTGAACCTCTCTGAGTCTCAGCTTTCTGCCTCTGAAAAGGCAGTGGTAAAGCCCGTGCAGGGCCATGGGGAGGCCTCGGTCACAACTCCACAGTATCAGCTCTGCTGTAGAACATATCGAAGGTACTCAGGTAGTGAGTCATTTTACAGAAGACCCAGAGAGGGGAGCTGCCTTGTTCAAGGTCATGTGGGTACTCAGGAAAGCAGGGACTGATCCCCTACTCAGGCTTCACCTGAGACATCCTGCTCTCAACAGGCTGAGAATCCGGAATGAGCCCCTTGGTGAGACAAAGGGGATATGGGTTAGAGTTTTGGTTCCTCCTTTCTGGGCCTTTAGGAGTGGTCAGGGCCAGCTCTAGGCCTTCCCAGGCCAAGAACAGAACAGCCTCTTCTCGAAGACACTTGTCCTGGGAGCTGTCAGTCAATGGAATCGCCTGGTGGGGGCGCTGTCTATAGGGGTAATGGAGTAGGACCTCTGAGTCCGCAGACTTCTGACTCACCCCAGAGTGTAGGTTCCACAAGGCCACCTCGTGGAGACCCCACTCTGCTCTTCCACACTTGCAGACATCCTCTCAGGTACTCACTTTCCACTGTTTATCCCTCAGCTATGAAGATCCAGGAGCCTTAGATGGTGGAGAGGAGGGCATGGACATCATTACCCACATCCTGACCCTGGCACCTCAGCTGCTGAAGGACTCTGGGTATGAACGGGGTGGGTCTCCTGGGTCTGCCCCAGCAGCCTCCTCCTAGCAGTAGGTGCTAGGCCTGCTGCTCCTGCCCCTCCCAGCCCAGGCAGCCCAGTAGTGTAGGTCCAGCCCTGCCGGTTGAGTTGACCCATTTCTCTGCTAAACAGAAGCATCTTCTTAGAAGTGGACCCAAGACACCCAGAACTTGTTGGCAAGTGGCTCCAGAGCCGGACTGACTTGTCCCTCAATCTCGTGGCTGTGCGTAAGGACTTCTGTGGGAGGTGAGGTTCTGTTTCCCCCAGGTCCCCCACAGCCTTGCTCATCCTCCTACCGGCTGTGGGTGAGTGTGCTCACCCTTCCCACTCCCTTTTTATTCCCTAGGGCACAGGTAGTAACTGGACCCTTGTCCTGTCTCCTTAGGCCTCGGTTCCTGCATATCCGGAGGTCTGAGCCACAGCGTGACTTCCCTGTGGACGTCTGGCCGGGGCCCCAGCCTGCCAGAGAGTCTGGCTGACACTTCTTCCTGGAATGCTACTTGGAGGGAGGTGGATGGTGCCTCATAGAACCCCAGATGCTTGCAGTATTTCCTATGGCTTTGTGATTCGCCAAGCTTTACATTACAAGGATACTTGGGGGTAGAAGCAACAGAGAGTTCCTTCCTAAGGCAGCAAAGAGCAAGGACACTCATAGTCCAGCTCAGGAGCTAAGTCGACCCAGCTTCTCAGTCTAGTTCTGTCATGCTGGTTCCGCCCAGGACAGTGGCGCAGCCTTGGTGGGTTGATTTGTTCTGGTGACATTGGGAGTTATGGCTAATAAAGCATCAAGAGACCTACAAGTAGTGACCTGTTAGGATGATTTGTGTGTCCCGTGTCTTCTCACACCAAGGCTGTGCTGGGGGTAGGAGCTCCCTTTTGTCCCAGCTAGCCATCAGGCCCAAGGTCACATTCTGGTGAGGGCCTGAGGCTGAGATCTGACACAGGCTGGTGTGACTCCAGCATTGTAGCTCAAATTCAAGGCCCAACCAAGCCAGTGGCTGCAGACTTGAGGCCCTGCCCAGCTAGTCTACTTGGCCCTGACTTCTTCCCCCAGGGGAGCCAAGTCTCACATTTTTCTGGGAATGAAGTTGTCTCCAAAACCTGCTCCAGTGACCCCAGCCGCCCCTGCATGGTCACTTTCCATCATTATGCTCCATGCGGTGCCATAACCACACGCTTGCCAAGGTCTTTCCTCAGTAATGGGCCTGAGGCCAGAAGAGTGGGCCTGTCAGGGAAACTGGTACTGGCTGAAGTATGGCCCAGGTTGTGGGACAAGGGGCCAGAAGACCCCTAATTGATTCTGGCCACTGCTTTGAGATGTCTCTGAAGAGGGGCAGTAGGCTAAAAGGTCTGAGCTCAGAAGGCTACCCACTCTGCCCTCCAGATTCCTTCTGGCATAGCCACGAGGAGACCTGGGGCAACTTGGGGTCCATGCAGCTGGAGCAGGTTAAAGGACCACGCTGTCTCTGGCCACTGCACTACCACATCAGAGCCTTGAAAGTTCCAAGATGGGGGAAGAAAAGACTAACGAAAAGAGCCAGCCTCAGCTGGCATGTTGCTCAGGACCCACCCTGATACTGCCTCACCTAGCACCTGCCAACCTGGATGTTTCCTGTTGTTATGGACAGAAGGACTGGGCCTTCAGGCCTCCAGGCGGCCACGAGTCTGAGTAGCTCAGAGCTGGCATGGACGTCACAACCTGGTGTCCACTCTGTCTCAGCTTCTCACTCTCCCCAGGGACAGATGGGTTATCTGAAACCCCAAGGTCAACCTGGCTAAAAGTTATGGGGATAAAAAGTAAACTCGCCCTTCTCTGCTCACTTCACTGGTTTAAACCTTCAGTTAAATGAATGTGACATGTGACCCCAGAATTGTGCAGAAAAGACCCTCAGTCCCATCCCCTCCCAAAGGCAGACCGTCATCCTGAGCTGAAACTCAGATGCAGCTCCCCTGCTCAGAGCCGGGGCCCAGCCTGGGAAGTGTGTGGGAGGGCCAGGCCCCTAGCCCCGGAAGCCTGGAGCAGCCGCTGCTTGCCTTCCTCTGCCTGGCCTCCCCGCCACAGCCTTGACTTCCCAGCCGGACAAAGGGAAACACGTGTTTGTGCTTAACAGGGTGTTCGTGGTTGTGAGGCGCCTGTGGGATGCACCTTTCATGGGGCAGGGTATTTTCATTACCTGCCTCACAGGGCAGACGTAGGGAGGGCACTGTACCCTTATGGGCCTGTCTGGTGCTTGGCTCCATCACACGCAGGCAGAAGCATAGCAGTCTGGGATGGAGGGAAGGCAGGGATTCCATCTTGGGCTCTTAACTTCTCGCTGCCCTCTGGAGATGGAGCCTCCAAGAGGCCGGTAGCCAGGCAGCGACTCATCTCCTCTCAGCCCCTCCCCCTCGCCAGGGTCTGAGTGCCCTAAATGCCAGTCCATAGCAGCAGGCATTTCAGCCTAGGGAAAGCCAGGCTCACCTGCCCTATCTGCCATCCCTGGGGCTGGGACCAGACAAAAGCTTCCTCCTGTAGCAGGTGTCGTGGAGCCCTGCAGGCAGAAGGGCAGGAGAACTGGAGCTGATGGTGGATCCGGCCTCTGCAGCCCCTACGGCCTGGAGCGATGTGCCTACTGCCCACCAGCCTCCTTCAGCCCAGCTCAGCATGGCCAGCGGGTACAGCGTCCCCAATCCACATACTCTAGAAGAACAGTTCCATCCCTCTTCTGACACTTGAGGAAACTGAGGCTGCCTCATATTTGGATACTTTACCAGCTGCCCATGGGCTTCTGAGAGTCTCATTTGGCTGCTTTAATGAAATGTGCCCTCCTCCCCCAAAACCCCTAGCCTCAAGAAATCAGCCTTTCATCCTCCGCTACTCCCACCTGGACCCTGGGCCATTCACTGCTCCCAGTCCTGCTCTCAGTCCTTGGCTGGCTCTTCATGACCTGAACGTGGCTTCTACATCCTGCAGAGTCCCGATCTGACCAGCTAAGGGAAGATGGCAATGGAAGAGGATCTGGAGACCCTCCCAAGGCCCCATTTGTGCTCTGAGTAAGCTTCCATCGGTGCAAAAGTTTTCACCGCTGACAAGCTATGAGATCTGCTGACCTTCAGTGAGGAACCCTGTTAAGCTCCGCAGGCCAGCATGTCCTTTTCCATCCACCTTTGGATTCTTTCCTCCACTGCCCTGGACTCTAGCCTCCCTGTGGAGTGCATTCCCTAAACACTCCTCTCCTTTCCCCCAGAAGTGGGGATGCCCTTGCCTACCACTGCCAGTCCAAATCACATTCCCCTTCAAACTCCAAAGGCTGCCTCCTCTAAAACACCCAGCCTGACCTCTGTTCTCTCCACCCGCCCCTTGCCCATACTTCTGCCAGCACCCATGGCATTTTGCCCCATGCATTTGGAAACCTCCCTGTCTCCTTCATCTCTCTAGGGCCCCATGTGGCTCTGGCATACCACTCAGTAAATGTCTCCCAGTAAGCCAACGCTGTGTGTGTGTATGTGTGTGCGTGTGTTCTAGAATTAACCTGGGACTTCCCATGTGGCTCGTATGTGACCTGACAGTTCTCAGATATTCTGGTCAGCAGGGAGTGGAAACCATGAGGGCCTGGCCTCCCACCCAAGCCAGGCAGCTGTTTGAGTTGAGCCATGATGCTGTGTGGGCTCAGCTGCACCTGATCTCTGCGGGGCGGCTGTGCCAGGAGAACAGGCTGTCCTTGACGGCAGAGGCAGCAGGTGCCAGGTTTCCTGGAGCTCTGGAACCCAGCCGAGAGCCAGGGTGTGGGTCTGAAAGTGGCCTGATCCTCTCTGGTGACCCCTCAGACCTGGATCGGTCTTCTGGACTGGGCTCGGGACTCACAAGTCAACCCTGCCCCTCCTATGGCAGGCAGGATAATGAGTCCAAAGATGCCCATGTCCTAACCCCGCAACCGGTTCTATGTTATCCGACATGGCAAAAAGGAACTCAAGTTAAGGATCTTGAGCTGGAAAGATGCTCCTGAACTAGTCAGATGCACTCATTGTAAGCACAAGAGTCCTTTAAAAAGGCAGGCAGGAGGGTCCAAGTGAGAGACGTGGGGATGGAAGCCGAGGTGGAGTGCTGCAGTTTGCCGGCGGAAGGGGCCACGCGTGTGTCAAGGCATGCAGCCAGCCTTTAGAAGCTGGAAAAAGCGAGGAAATGGATTCTCCCCTAGAGACACCAGGGAGAACGTGATCCTGTCAGCACCTTGATTTCAGCCCAGTGGAACTGATCTTACAGTTCTGGCCTCCAGAACTGTAAAATGGTAAATTTATGTGGTTTTGTGTCACTAAATCTGTGGCAATTTATTACAATAGCAAACTAATTTAGATTTTGGTATCTGAAGTGAAGTATGACTATAACAAACACCTAGAAAGGGAAGTGACTTTGGAACTGGAATTTGGAAATGGGCAGACTGGGAGACTTTTGAGGTGCACCATTGCCTCAAATACCTCTCCAGATAGGAGAGGTGGCTAGAGGTGGAGGCTGGGAGCCCTCTTCCACCGGGAGACCTGAGCTGCCTGTGCCCACTCCCCACCTGTCTAACATGTACGAAAGGGCTGCAAGATTGGTCAGGAGCAGAGAATGGGACCGGGGAAGAGGGCGCAAGCTTGGTCCTCGTGACCCATCTTCCGTGGCAAGGGCACCACCCAGCCTTTGTGTGGTCACCTCAGGTCCCCAGCCGCCAGCCCTTCACCAACTGTAGATCCTCTGCCTGCCTTGCTTTCAGGAAGGGTCCTGCCTACTGGGGGAGCCAGCCAAGTGTTCCTGGAAGTCACTGAGACAAACCCAGAGCTGAAGTTGCCTGAGCTTTGCCCAAAGCCCGGGGCTCTGCGCTGACTGAAATATCTGGGCAGCCCCTCTGCTCTCTACCCTCCTCCTCCACCCTTCTTGCCATCATTTCCTGAGCTCTTGCTTGGGCACTGGACCCCAAGGAACTGCTTTGCATTTATTAGTTCTAGTCCTCATATAGCCCTGCAGACTGCAGTCACGGGCCAGTTTGCATAGCTGGACTGGAAATAAAGGTGAGGCGACCAGCAGGGCCCGTGTGACTGTCAAAGACCCTGGGGTTATCACAGCTAAGTCTTGGGCTGCCCCTGCAGACACAGGTCCACCAGGATCTATGGATCCTTAGAGCAGAAGCAGTGCTGTCCCCAGAGGGCTTTCTAGAAACTCAGTGACCACCCTGATGGGCCCTTCTTTGATGTGTGCAACATGGGCCCAGGATCTCAGTCTCCCAAGCCAGGCCACACTGTGTGCCAGGCTCTGGGGAGACAACTCCAAGCAAAGGGGCCTATAAAATGTGGGAGTTGATTGGTGCACCGTGAACCAAGTGCATCTGGGCCTACCTTACTCAATCCTCACGGCATCCCATAAGGTGAGTCTGTGAAAACTTCCACTTTACAGATAAGGGAACTAAAACAGACAAACAAAGGAACTTGCTCATATGTTTACTGGACTGGGCTGAGTGGCCCAGGGCCTGAGGCACAGGATAGCACATAGCAAGCAGTGAACACAGTCCAGGCAAAAGCCTGGAGCTCTGAGGGAACATGGATATGTAGGGGTGAGGTGGTAGTACCTTGGTTGGGATCCAAGTGCACTTCTGGGTACCAGGGGCCTAATGTGAGGCAGTTACAGGACAGCAACTGCAGCCCAGGCCCTCAATCCCCAGAGGGGCCCTGGCACCAGGTGAGGTAACCCAGGCCAAATACTGGTGAGCTCTGAGGTGAGTACCGGGTCGAGCATGCATGGTGGATGTTGTCTTTGGCTGCCAGGAAGAGGTGGCTGGGGCAGGAGCTGTAACTGCCAAAGATCTGGAGGCAGCTAGGGGCTATGGCCATGGCACTGGGTATTCTGAAACAGAACTGACTTAGAGGTGTGGCTGAAGGGCTGGATATAGGGATGGGGGAGGCCAGGAACACATCTGGCCCAGGGTTCTGACTAGGATTTAGGGGTTTGAGATGATCCTCAACTACAGACTGGGGTTCTGGGGTCATTCAGTGAGTTTGAGAGTGTGGGATGCCCTGAGGGCACCCCAGAGACAGTATCAGGGTAATGGACAAAGACATCTTGAGATCCTCCCAGGACCATGTGGGGACGCAGGCCAAGGAGAGGTGCAGCGGAGTTGGGATCACTCTCGGGTTCCAGTGCTGTCAACAGCAGAGCTGGGTACTCTGAAGGAGCCAGCACCAGGTGCCACACTCATGTCATCAGAAATCCATCTGTCTGCACCTCAGGGTCACCTTTCTTGGCTTACTAGACAGACGGAGGCTGTTTCTTAAACTAGCCAACAACAGAAACCAAGGAAGTGGTCACCACGGCTTTTGAAACCAACGCTTGCTGTCCCAGCTGGAAGGGGAGTGACTAGGCCACAAGGCTGACTGTAGCCCAGCGCCTCAACTCCCAGAGGGGCCCCATATCCGGGTAAGGTTCCCTCACGACTGAATGGGGCTTCCAAAGCAATGGGGAAAGTGCTGAATCAAACAGACAAAACCTCCCAGCTATGCAGGGAGCTTCCTCCTCTCTTACCTGCTCCTGGAGGTCAAACTTTCATGCCCCAAGACAGAGGAGCCAGGTGAGGAGCCATGTGTGGGGCCAGGTGGGGGAGGTAGTGAAAGTGTTGCTGCTTAAAGGAGAGCCTGCTCTTCTCCAGATGCGAGCTGAGACCCACAGACACCCAAACTCTGGTTTTCAGCTGACAGGTAGGTGGGAAAGTGAGTCCCACCTCAGCAAAATGGGGTATGAAGATGTCATGTCAGGGCATTTCAGGACCCCAGGCCTGGGAGGTTCTGGGAGGAGGCCCGGAGTGGATGTGCCTAAAACCCTTCTTGCAGGCATCCCACAGCTCGAGAACTGACCATCGCTCCCACACTTCCTGCTTCCCGGAGTCTAGTCTTCATCCACCAAGTCCTCCCTCTCAGCCTCCTTAGAACTGTGGAATCTGTCCTTTCAAATCAAGTTTCATGTGAATCTCAAATATGCATTTATTTAACTTTTGAAAAAAGACAAAAGCAGCGTCTAAATATAAGTGTATTTTATGAGTTCAGATTCTTGACACCTCCAGTGACCAGCGGCCGGGGCGAGCAGCCGCAGGTCCCGTGTGCAGACTGGGGCTGGGATGGGCGCAGTGGTCTCAGCTCAGCCTCAGCGGCCAGTTTCTTTTCAGTGTTTGATGTTGGTGGCACAGGACCAAGTGACCCCTGATTCTCACAGATTGTTGCTTACAAATGGTGGCCGTGTTTCTGCAGGACTCGCCGTCTCTTTTTTCACATGGACCGCGAGAGCCTTATTTGAGGCTCAACATAAGCCACATTTGCCGAGAACAGAGGGACTTCGGATGTGTGCTTAATTAATTTGTTGTTGTGCTTATTTGAGTCTGATTGTGTTTTTTTAATTGGGTTTTATTCAGTAGTTAAAATATGAAAGAAAGGAAAACAGAGGCAGAGAGGAAAGGAAAGGGAAGGGAAGGAAGAGAGGAAAGCAAGGGGCTTCTGGGGAGCCCTCCCTCTGGCTCTTGGTGGAGGAGGCTCCCTCTTCCCCGGGAAGCCCGCTCTGACTGCTGCACCCCTCCGGCCTGGACACCCCGCCCCTCTCACCAGCATCGTCTCAGCCACAGGCTCCAGAGGACTGTGAATCTCAGGAGTCTCGGCCCTCTCCGGCTCCGGTGTGCACCTCCCAGGTACTCAGTCCCTGGCTGTAGGAGCAGGAAGAAGACCCCCAGGAGGAGACAGTAGGGGCTTCCCTGGGCCTTACGTTGGTATCTCCAGGAGTATTGGGGAACCCAGTGCCCCTGAAGTCCTGGGGTTTCTATAGTTCTGGGTACCGTCATTTCTGAGAACTTGCTACGCTTTGGAAAGAGAGAAATGAGAAGCAAAACCCTAGAGCCCCCGCACCGCCACCCCCTTCCTGTCTTCCTTCCGCTGAGTCACAGCCAGAAGCCCAGCATCTCAACCTCCCTTGGGGCCACTGGGGTATGGTGGAATTCAGGGTTAGATGAGGATACAGTATCTAGGACATCTTTTATTTTCCCTGGTAGCATCCTCTGCGAGGGACCCTCAGTTGCTGAGGCTACTTCCCCAAGCTTGGGGGCTTTACCTGTTCTGTCTCCCCTCTTGCCACTCCCCTTGTAAGCCAGGTCTGGGAGGTGGGATGGTTCAGGTGGGCATTGTTCTTGGTGAACTCTAGGATTGAGCATAGGCTTTTCCTGGCAGGCCTCTTATGAGTGACTGGTCCTTAGGCTCACTCCGGTTAGCAATGGCAAGCCATGGGAAGCCAGGCCACATCACACTTGTACACTGCAGAGATTTGCACACCTCTGCACACGTATCCTCAAGTACATCCATGTGCACAGACAAGGGATGTGAGCAGTTGAGTCCATGTCTATGATCATAGGTGTCCACACAGGACCTCCCTTTGCTGAGGGAGCTCCAGGGTCTGGGAACAATGTTTGGTG